ATTTAATCACCTACACACATCAATAATCATTTGTGTCACAAGTGATCAACAAGAGGTTCACAACAGTCACTATACAAGGCACTTTACATCTATGATGAGTTACACAGTTACTAGTCTTGCTGCACACCCACCCAACTGGGCGGCAGCTTTACAGTCATGTGCATGCATTACCTACAGTAAGCAAATTTTGGATACTTCGCTAAGATTTCGGGCAGCACATCATTATGAATGAAGTACTTACACATTTCTTGGACCCCAAGAAAAAGTTTCAAAATATTGATGAAAGATGCCGTAACTTTTTAGTGAAAGATTACAAATAGCCTTTTTCTCGTATTCTAACTAATGCTGAAACTTTAAAAAAGGTGAAAAATCCACCCAGCATATGCCTTAGCCACACACGGCCACCATTTTCAGAACCTCCATTAGTACTAGCTGACCAGTCTAAGCTTAGTGAAACTGAAAGTCAGAAACGCCTACTGTTAACCACTGACTGGTCCAACATTTGTGAGGGACAAATTCCAACATCTGGATCGTCATGTTCAAGTATGTTTATTAAGACAAGAACAAAATACATCTCAAAGGGATAGAGTAGCTTAGGCTATTTCTACCCTCCTCTACTTCACGTCCCTCAAGGGGCGCACAAATTCAGTAAGTACAAATACACAAATCACAATACAAGAATCCCTTTTAACATTGCAGATTAAAATAATAAACACAGCATTTGAGTGTTACACTCTTGGGGCAAAATGCTTATAGCTCGTAAGTATACTGTCTATCATACCAATATCACACATCCAAACAATTTGATGCGGTACACTATTTATTTCCTTATTTCTATAGTTATCAATACGTTGACACTCTAATACATAATGTTCTAAGGTGTGGGCGTGCGGCATTCTACATAATTTACACTACTTATCTTTTTCACTGACATCAGCACCGTATTGCCAGATACGGTGTATCTGGCAATACGCCAGATATTGCCAGATCCTCTTTCTCATCTACTGACCTTCCAAATGCTTCCCAACACCTCAAATCAATTCTATTTGCTGACGACACAACCTTCATTTACTCCAGTCCTGACCCCCTTGCTCTAAATGTCACAGTAAATACTGAGCTAAATAAAGTCCATCTTTGGCTAACTGCCAACAAACTCACCCTTAACATTGACAAAACTTTCTATTTTCTGTTAGGCAATAAATCCTCTAATGAAATAAATCTCAGAATAAACAATACCCAAATTTGTAACAAAATAGATGGCAAATTCCTTGGCGTTCTCAATGACCACAACCTGAATTTCCAGTGACACATTCTAAATATATTAAAAAAAGTTTCAAAAACTGTTGGCATTCTTTCTAAGATCAGATATTATGTACCCCCGACCTGCCCTGGTGACTCTCTATTACTCCCTCATCTATCCATATCTCAACTATGGTATTTGTGCTTGGGGCTCTACTACCCAAAATAATTTACGTCCTCTAATTACTCAACACAAAGCTGCTATTAGGAAAATATCCAACTCTGGCCCCAGACATCACTCGGTACCCCTACTCAAATGTCTGAATATGGTAGACATTAAGTCACTGCACATTCTCTCATGTGTATTATACATATATAAAACGCTGAACTGTAATGCCAATTCTGACCTCAAAAGCTTCATTGAAGGTTGTAACAGAACCCATGAGCACCACACCAGAAACAAATACAATTTTGATATTCCAAGAGTACGACTTAATCAAACTAGAAATGCTCTACAAATCAAGGGACCCAGAATGTGGAATGACCTTCCCAACCATGTTAAAGACTGTACCTCTCTCAACCAGTTTAAGATAAAAACGAAGCTATACCTAATAAATTCTCTGTAACCTACCTTACCCCTCTATTGTCAACCCATGTATGTTTTTTTTAATAACGCTGTTTGTCGACCTAATTGTATTTGTGCTGCCTTTTCAGCCATGTTCCCCCTTTCTTATTTTTATTTGTTCTCAACACATTTTATTCTTTATACTCAATTAGTATTAAGTTTTAGTCATTAATGTTTTTCCTGCCCGAAACGCTTTGCGTAATAGTGGCTTTAGGCATTGTATGTACTAGTTCTATCTATAATTCTATCAATTTTTGTAAAATCTCTTGTATGTATGTACCTTACCTGAATAAACATTTATTTATTTATTTATTTGTTTATTTATATATTTGTATCCTAATCTTAATCTCATGCAAATTGAATCCTTCCAAGTAGACTTTCCTCTACCATAGGTGAAGGACGAATTTGTGTTTATTATTGAATAATCCTTAAGTGTGTTACTACTGTCCACCATCGCCATTCTCTTTACCATTTCTTCATCCTCTTGGATCATCTTGATTTTTGTTTTTATTTGTTTCAAGGTTAACTGACATACAACATCAACAAGAGTTTTTTTCCTTGGCTCTCTTCGCTATGTCATCAACTACCTCATTCATCAGTATTCCCACATGTGAAGGGATCCACATGAATCTTACTTTATACCCAGTTTTTTCTAATTTCTTAACATTCTCTCTACACTCTATCACAATGTTCTGGTAAACTGGACGTATGCTATTTAAAGACTCTAACGCTCCTCTGCTGTCAATAAAGAAGCAAGCATTTTTACCACATTTGACCACTTCCTGTAATCCTGCTAATACACCTTGGAGTTCAGCCTGCGTTGAAGAGACATTGTCAGTTAAGCGGCGTCCAATAACAGTATCTACAGTGTCGATGTCAGTGTACTCCCTGATCAAGACTCCACATCCTGCCTTCCCATCCCTAGCTACTGACCCATCACAATACACATGTACAGTGTTTTCTGTAGGTAATTTTCTAATTATACAATCATATGTTGCCCTCAGCTCTCCTATCTCATACATACTTTTTTCTTTTGCAAGGGAATAGTTACTACATCTACGTTACAATCCTCCCATGGTGGTGTAAACTGTCTCTTGGGCACAGCAATACACTCTGGAATAACATCATACTTTATAACATTAGAACATATGGTACTCATATATGCTTTCTTATTTATCATACATTGTTCATTACTCCCAACCGATTGATGATTGATGAAGATTAAGTCACCCAAAAGGTGGCACGGGCATGAATAGCCCGTAAGTGGTGGCCATTTTAAGCCATTACCAGTATCAGGAGCTGATACTGGAGATCTGTGGAGGCGCAACTGCACCCTGTGTGACGGGAGATGTCTCCCGGGGGGACCTTAAGACATTTGGGTCGCATTGTGACCACACTGCGCCTTGTGATGTGTTGGCGGGAGATGTCTCTCCCGTCCTGTGGAATATATATATACAAGAGTTGTTACATTCTTGTATAGGTCTACTTGTCTTCACCTGACACCTTAATGGTATAAATCTAACAATTCCTGCATTTTCTTCCTTACGGGCTATTCATGCCCGTGCCACCTCTTGGGTGGCTTAATCTTCATCAATCTATTTTCTTCCACGGGGGAGACATCTCCCGTCACGCAGGGTGCAGTCGCACCTCCACAGATCTCCAGTATCAGCTAATGACACTGGTAATGGCTCAAAAGGGCCACCACTCACGGGCTATTCAAACTTCTTAATTACGCAGACGACTTTGTGGTCATCATCAATGGCAAAGGCGCAAGGAACCATGCACAAAAATGCCTAGATATTATCAGTAGGGAAGCGGAACGCATAGCAGTGACTCTTCGGGCAGTATGGGTTCGAGTCACTTCTAGGGTGTGAGTTTTCAGTTGCATATAGTCCTGGGGACCATTCAGGCTTGTTAGCATTTGTGTTCCTCACGTGTGCCCCAAAGAATGAGGTGATTTGATAAAATACTATGCCCAAGATTACCATCAGAGTGCTGGCGGAGGGTGGTTCAAATAGCTTCGGCTATCACCTCCTTTTGACCGGTCGTGATGGTCGAGTGGATAAGGTGTCCTGTACACACCAGTTGCATTGTGCTCCTGGCAGTATGGGTTCGAGTCACTTCTGGGGTGTGAGTTTTCAGTTGCATATAGTCCTGGGGACCATTCAGGCTTGTTCGCATTTGTGTTCCTCACGTGTGCCCCAAAGAATGAGGTGATTTGATAAAATACTATGCCCAAGATTACCATCAGAGTGCCAGCGGGGAAGTGGTTCAAATAGCTTCGGCTATCACTTCCTTATGTCCGGACGTGCTGGTCAAGCGAATTAAGGTGTCCTGTAGATACCAGTTGTGTTGCTCCTGACAGTATGGGTTCGAGTCACTTCTGGGGTGTGAGTTTTCAGTCGCATATAGTCCTGGAGACCATTCAGGCTTGTTCGCATATATATATATATATATATATATATATATATATATATATATATATATATATATATATGTATATATATATATATATATATATATATATATATATATATATATATATATATATATATATATATATATATTGTACCTAACAGCCAGATCTGCACTACTTGGTCTAGTATTCAAGGTCCGATTTGTCTACCAAGCAGAGTAATTTTCATTATTTTCCAAATACTTATTTTCAAATTGGTTTAATCCCATTAATATTATTTTATTAAGATCATGAATTACTAACTTAGTAATTCATGATCTTGGTTAGGCTTGGTTAGGTTAAGATAAGTTTGGTTAAGTTTGAACAAATTTCTATATTAGTTTACCTACCCTTGCTGATACCCAATCTTATCTTCAGTGAGAGGAACTGTTTTGTTGGTGATAACTCCGATACGACTCGTGACACTATTGTAAGACTTGGAGAGGGATGAGCGTTCGAGAGGCGGTGGTGGTGGTGGTGTGTGTGTGTGTGTGTGTGTGTGTGTGTGTGTGTGTGTGTGTGTAATTACCTAAGTATAATTACCTAAGTGTAGTTACAGGATGAGAGCTACGCTCGAGGTGTCCCGTCTTCCCAGAACTCTTTGTCGTATAACGCTTTGACATGCGTGCGTGTGTGTGTGTGTGTGTGTGTGTGTGTGTGTGTGTGTGTGTGTGTGTGTGTGTGTGTGTGTGTGTGTGTGCGTGCGTGTGTGTGTGAGAGAGAGAGGTAGGGAGGGAGGCTGACGGCGCAGGAGTGTGGGAGGGGACGCTTCCAGCCCCTCACGCCAGTCTGGTATTGATTCCGGCAGGAGGTGAAGGGTCGGTGTTGCGTCTCGTGGTCGGCGTCCACACCCGTGCTGGTCCTCCCACACGCCCATCAGGAGGAAGCTTACTGACGCAGGTGAGGCCCTTGTGGCTACTGAGTGTTGCTTAGCGACACTGGTTCCCTTCTCTCCGTGTTCTTGCGGGCTCTCAAACACTCTCCTTGTTCTTCACCGAGTTTGTTTATTTACAAAATTACCAGTTACCTTTCGGGGTGGATTTTAATTTAATTTGATTATTAAGGCTCGCTTACCCATGACGAGGGCGGTGGTAGGAGCGTTACAGAGTTGAACGACAGGTTCAGGAACTGGACCCCCGATGCTCTTTACGCTTAAACATTTACATTCAAGCTGAGCGCTGCATCTGATTTTGTGTGATTTGGTTCATCCCGTACGCTTAGAGTCAGCGGCAAGGAACTAAATACAGGCACCTTGAGGTCAAGTGGCAGACCTGTACGTGGTTCGAGTCCGTTAGAAGATTTGAGAGCATTGGTAGGGAACATTTTTCGAAGAGTAACTTGAGTGTCGCGAGAATTATGAATCTTTAGCTAACTTCAGGATTCTCAACAGCTAGGCTTGGGCCGACGGTGCGCTGTTTATATACAGGTTGACAAGAGGCTTCGGGGCTTGAATACAAGTACCTGGAGTGAGTTCTGGGAGTTCTACTCCCCCCAAGCCCGGCCTGACTTACAAGAGCTTGGTCCAACAGGCTGTTGCTTGGAGCGGCCCGCAGGCCCACTCCATGTATATATAAATCAGTATGTAGTGACCTGGAGTCTAGTGTTAGGGGCACGATAACGGAGTTTACATCACACCACAGTGGTTGTTGTTGTTGTTCTAGATTCAGCTACTCAGAACGAAACGTCCATGTAGCACAGGCTATGGTGAGCCCGTAATTCAGTTCGGTTATTCGCGATAACCTTGTTACTCTGATATTTGGGTCAAAGTTTTAAATGGAGGTGGGGTTTCCTCCCTTTTTCCTGTTTCTTTTTCACTTCTGTTTTAGTCGTGTTTTAATACAATTATCTTGGTGGTGGATGTAGGTGCAGAATGTTCACTAGTGTGTCCCATTGTTTAACGGCTTTTCTAATCATTGTAGTCACTCAGGATTTTGCATCTAATACAGCTGCTGTCGTTGGATTAATGTATAGTTTGATGCGCAGGGCTTCAGTAGCTTCACATTCCAGTAAGTAGTGCAATAGTGGCGCCTCTGCTTCTGTTCCACAGATGTGACACTCTTTAACTATTGGGTTTATTACCTCCCAGCAGCACTTGTAACCAAGTCTGAGTCTGTGTATGGCTACTGCAATGTCTCTGGATATCTTTTTGTCAGGCAGGAAAGAGAAGTACCCAGTGGCTTGTTCGTACCATATCGCAGTGGATCTTCCTTCCGCTACTTTGGCTCTGTGGTGACTTTTGATAGTTGAGAATATTTTCTTCTTGATTTGCTCCTTAATCTGTGAAAAACTTGGAGTTATTTGAACCTGTACAACAGGTAGAGCAGTGGCAGTTTTTGCTAGTGAGTCTGCCTTTTCATTACCATCTATGCCAACGTGACTTGGTATCCAATTTAGGGTGATCGACAGCCCTAGATTATGGGCTTCTTTTCCTATATGTTGGATTTCTGTGAGTTGTATATTATCTCTGTGTTGACTGGATAACAATGCCTGGAGCGAAGATTTAGAGTCGGTATGAATGATGACATCATGTAAATAATTCTCAATTGTCAATTGTATAGTTTATGGATTGCTTCGGGGAATACAATTCTGTCTGCAATGTTGAGCACCCACTATTCATGCTCCAGTAAGCTTCATGGTTGGTAGTGTAAACTGCTGCCTCAGCAGAGTCTCTTTCTTGATCAACTGATCCGTCTGTGAAGATGTGAGTCGTTGTAGGTCTTGAGATGGTTTCCATTTGTCGTTATATGACTGTATTGAGCCTCTGTGAGTCACATGCTGATTTTTTAACTGGTAATCCTTCAATGATTATCTTTAGACTCGATTCTTCCCATGGAGGAGGCTGCCGAAAGTGTTGATATGGTCTATCTTCCCCTTTGTTTTTAATGGTCAATTTCAAGTCCACTTTCTCTAGAATCTTAACTAGATTATCCGTCCAACCCCGGTGGTGATAACCGTGCACAACACCCACACAACACCCACACAACACCCACACAACACCCACACAACACCCACACAACACCCACACAACACCCACACAACACCCACACAACACACACAACACCCACACACACACACCACACACAACACACACACACACACACCACACAACACACACACACACACACCCACACACCCACAACACACACACACACAACACCCACACAACACACACACAACACCCACACAACACCCACACAACACCCACACAACACACACACAACACCCACACAACACCCACACAACACCCACACAACACCCACACAACACCCACACAACACCCACACAACACCCACACAACACCCACACAACACCCACACAACACCCACACACACCCACACCACACCCACACAACACCCACACAACACCCACACCACACCCACACAACACCCACACAACACCCACACAACACCCACACAACACCCACACAACACCCACACAACACCCACACAACACCCACACAACACCCACACAACACACACACAACACCCACACAACACCCACACAACACCCACACAACACACACACAACACCCACACAACACCCACACAACACCCACACAACACCCACACAACACACCACACACCCACACCACCCACACAACACCACACACACACCACACACAACACCCACACAACACCCACACAACACACAACACACAAACACCCCACACACACACAACACCCACACAACACCCACACAACACCCACACAACACCCACACAACACCCACACAACATATCACCACTCCACTGATGTGTCTACACCTCTTCTCGCCTTATTTTACACGGAATATTTGGACATTTCTTAACTATTAGTGATGAGAGCAGCATTTAAATTTGTAGATTAGAAACAACTCTATAACCATTATTTCCGAATTGTTCGGTGTATTTCTCTGTGATGTTTGCCATGTTTTAAGCTCATCGGGATTTAAGATAGCAATTTGTTTAAAGTTTAAACTTTCTAATCAGATTTGAAGCCTATTGGATGGTTACCGGAGCGGAGATCGGGATAGATTAATTCATGATTAATGCTTAAGATGATCATTTATATATTTATTTACGTGTAAGAAGATACAATAGGTTGTCAAAGTTCACAATTTGGTGATTAAATTGCATATTCTTTCAAAGCCACTAACTCGTATAGTGTTTCCGGCACATGGTTATGTTCTTGGGTGAGAGAGAGAGAGAGAGAGAGAGAGAGAGAGAGAGAGAGAGAGAGAGAGAGAGAGAGAGAGAGAGAGAGAGAGAGAGAGAGAGAGAGAGGGGGGATGGGTTATCGTGTAGTGCCAACGATGACAAGATATGATAAGATTAATGACCAGTTTTTTAATAATAGTTATCAGTCGCGTGTAGTTCGACCTCCTATTTCCTCTTCATATATTCCTCCTCTCTATACTTATTTCTTTCCTTCTCCTTCTCTAATTTTTCCTCTTTTCTTTCCCATTTATTCTCCTATCTCCTATTCCTTTTCACTCTCGCAATCGTCATCCACTCTTCACCCTACTGTTCTATTTATTTGTCCTCTTCTATATCAACATTTATAATGCTTGCCTTCCCTTTCTGTATCCTCTTTCCTCTTAATTATCCTCCTCCTCCTCCTCCTCTATTTATCCCACTCTATCATTATTCTCCTTTACCTTTCCTTCTTTATCCTCCTTCCCCCTTATTTCTCCTTCCCTTGTATCTCCATTCTTCTCCTTATATCTCTTTGTCCTCTTTCTCTATCCTTATCCCCAAGTCTATCTTCACTCCTCCTTCTTCCTCTCTTCACTATCTCCCTTTCTGTTTCAATCTTCTCCCTGTCCCTCTCCTCTATCTCTTTTGTTGTCCCGCTATTATCGACGTTCCGCTGTCATCTCCACGTGCTTCTCCTACCAACATTTGCGTTACCACTACACGCGGTCATAAGCCATTGATATATCACACACAAAATACATCACATATATTACATTAGATTGACCGTTGGGTGTACAGATGTATTACGCATGCACGCATACGTACGCACGCACACCCACACTCTAGGGAGTGTGAGATAGGTGACTGGGTGATAGGAGACCAAAGGGACAGTACACAATGAAGGGGAACTGCCTACCTGTGACGATTCGAGAAAGAGACCTGGGCGTGGACGTAACACCTAATCTAACTCCTGAGGCGCATAATAACAAGGATAACGACAGCAGCGTATTCTATACTGTCAAAATTTAGAACTTCATTCAGAAACCTAAGTGAGGAGGCCTTTAGGGCGATTTACACTGCCTACGTGAGGCCAGTCTTAGAGTATGCCGCCCCATCATGGAGTCCCCACCTGAAGAAACACATAAGGAAACTGGAAAAGGTTCAGAAGTTTGCGACGAGGCTCGTCCCAGAGTTGCAAGGGATGGGATATGAAAAGCGACTGAAGGGACTGAACCTGACGACGTTAGAAAAAAAGGAGGGAACAGGGATATATGATAGCAGCATACAAAATACTTATGGGGATTGACAAAGTGGACATAGACGAAATGTTCACACGTAATAGTAACAGAACGAGGGGACATGGGTGGAAGCTGGAAACTCAGATGAGTCACAGAGATGATAGGAAGTTTTCTTTTAGCGTGAGAGTAGTGGGAAAATGGAATGCACTTGGGGAACAGGTTGTGGAAGCAAATACTATTCATAATTTTAAAACTAGGTATGATAGGGAAATAGGACAGGAGACATTGCTGTAAACAACCGATGGCTAGAAAGGCGGGATCCAAGAGTCAATGTTCGATCCTGCAGGCACAAATAGGTGAGTACACACACACACACACACACACACACACACACACACACACACACACACACACACACACACACACACACACACACGGACGCATAGGGGTCTAGTAGCCGAGTGGATAGCGTGGGGATTCGTAGTCCT